AATGTGTGCAATTATATTAACCAGTATTTAATGAAACATTTGGGGATCCAAATGCATACAGCGAAATTGTCAAAATATTTAAACAATGGTTCAAAGGCTCACATAATTACCTTATCCATTTGCAAATATTCTCCCATAAAGCAGGGAAGATACTACCTAATCAAACAGAAATAACAACAAAGCATTCCTGCCAAGAGCAAACTGAGTCAGTTCAGACAAGGAACTGCAAAACATAATGATACGAGAAAGAGTTTTTATGGATAAAGATAGCATTCATCCAGTTTTTATGGCATGATTAGGAGTCACATTTTTTTTTACTTATTGGAAAAAGAATATCGCAGAAAAAGTAATAAGTCTTGAAAAGTCATTTAAAACACTATATTACCATTTGAATATACAGACTTTTTATTTTGTTTTGCTGAGCCATAGTAATGGCAATGTTAAACTTTCAGAAACGTTGGTTAAAATTCCCATTTCGTTTCATTTATCTTTCTTGAAATACCTGACTACACTGGGTCATTAAACTATATTTTTACGTAATGGAAAACGTCTCCATGACATTTTAAAATCTGACTCACAAAAGCATATTGAAGAATAGCTAAACATCACTTTTTAAAGCAAGGTTGTAATGTTACTGGTTTCCCAATTTTTAACTTTTGTGAATAAAGAAGGAATATCCTTTACAAAACAAGAAAGAGGGTTAAACTAGGAAATAATAAGAAGTGGGCATTGATTTTGAGTCATATCCTGTCCAACCTAGACATGCAAATACTAACCAGAGATTAGTCATCAGGTGATGACTTGATTTATCCTTAATTAAAAATAACTATAAAAGTACATTACTCTCACATCATCTGCCTTTTGATGCATCAAAAAAAAAAAAAAGATTCTTTTTGCAGCAGGAGCAGTGTGCTTAATGCCATGAGTTTTATATCATGAATTTCCAATTCTTGGCAGGAAAATGCATATCTGGATCCTAGAAATTATACTTCCATTCCTCCAAACATTCCTATGTTTTGTCTTATCTGTGTTATTCACTGTTCCCACCCAGAGTGTTTCAGGAGTTGAAGTTGGAGAATTCAAAAACATCAAGATAACATCAGGCATGTGATGGAAACACTGCATGTGACATGCATAAAAAATGGTGCAGGGAATAGAAAACTGCCTCAGGCAGAAAATTAAGATGGTGGTGCAGATAAATTGGGCCCCCAGATGTTGCTGATTTACTATTCTCTTGCTTGCCATTTTCCTATTTGAATCATAGAAGTATTTGGAAGGCCACATACTATATCTGAAAGTCAGAAGGAGTCTGGTAATACCCCTTTCCATTATTAAACTTTATTAAAAGGCATTTGATTTCATAAACTGCAGCTCCCTTCATCAGATAGATGTCTACTTTCTGTTCTGTTATGTTCTGTCCTGGAAATCAGTAGCATTAAAGATTCTGAGAGAGTTAAAAGTGCCTAGGTCTACTGGTCTTCTCAGTCTGTAACTTATCCTCAACCCTTGGAATTTAGAAAGGTAAAGAAGCACATATATAAATCAAGGAATCCTGACTAGGTAGGTTTCCTGCAGCTCACTTATTTCATTTCCTAAAACTATGCTGGAACCCCTGTATGAATTAAAAGCCAGTATTGTGGCAAAGAAAAGCAGTTGCATTTTTCAATTACCTTTATTCAACTCTATTGTATTGTTCCACCTTTTGTAAAAGGATAATATATGACATTCATTTGGTACTGATGCTCAGGTATAAAACATGCCCTCTTATGTCATTCTCTCACTGGCAGTTTGCAGTTTTCCTGGATTTCTACATTTCAGTAGTGGTCTGAAGAAAGTTGATTAACTGGTCATTTTTCCTATACAATATCATTCTGGAAGGGTTTTTGGATCAAAAAATGCAGGTAGAGAGGCTGCCAAGTTGTGTAATAGATGGTGGTGGTGCTAAGACAGAGATACACAGCCTTCTTGTCACCATAAAGCATCAAGGAAAATTTTAAGACACAGCAAAATGAATTTCTGTTTCTTTCTGACAGAGATGCACATAAACAAGCAACAGGAGCCTTTGTAGGAGAAGATACTTTTCAAAATAATAATAATGAGCAGACAGCAACAGACAGCAAATGTCATATCTTACAAGAAGGTAGAGAAACAGTGAACCACCTAGTTAGCTGCTGCAAGACGTTCTCACTAACTGACTACAAAGTAAAATGATGATGCTTTGGAATATCTGCAAGAAATACCATTTGCCTGCAAGCAAGGACTGGTAAAACCATAAAATAAATAAAGTCCTAGAAAACAAAGAAGTCAATGGCCTCTGGGACTTCAAGCACATGCCACATAACACCACACATTTAACAACTGTTGATAAGAAAGAAAAAAAGTGCTGTAGTACCTGGAAACAGCACGATAATAGAAAGAAGTAGGAAAAATTACTTCGTGCAAAGACCTGCAAATAGAAGTGGAATAACTGTAGCAAAAGACAGCAAAGATATTACCAATAGTACTAGGTGTCTTGGGTGCAATCCCAAAACATCTGAAGCACTAGCATTCACCTTGACAAAATCACCATCAGTCAATTGCAAAATGCAGCTTTACTCAGAGTAGCTTATATCTTGCAAACAATATGTTTAACTCCATCAAACAAGCACACCTGCCTATCCCAGGTCTTTGGGGAGGGCTCAATAGGTACGTAAAAATGCCAAATTCAGTCTAAACAACCAGCTGACTGTGTGATCAACAACAACAACAACAACAACAACAACAATAATAATAATAATAGATTTGTCATACTACTATGAAAAATGTACATTTTGTTGCTTCCTTGCAACCCTTATTATATAAAAATGACTACCTTGGTTTTTTCTGGGTGAAATTATCTATCTATCTATCTATCTATCTATCTATCTATCTATCTATCTATCTATCTATCTAGACAGTATTTTCCCCGATGCCATCACTCTGCTAAACACATAATTCCCACAGCATTGTCTATGCCTAAGGATAACTAACCATGTAGCAGGACTGAATTACTATTATCCTTCTTATCTTTCCTATTCCCTATTCCCACTGGTATCTTATAACTATCACTTTGTTAGTTGCATGTTATGATTTAAGATTATATCCTATGATTTATGATTTCTCATTCTATTGCTTGTATGTACGCTGAGAGCTTATACACTGAGAGCTTATACACTGAGAGCTTATGCATCTGAGACAAATTAGTGTGTCCAAAATATTCTATTCTATTCTATTCTATTCTATTCTATTCTATTCTATTCTA